CGACCACAAATCGTGCTTTGGGATTGGCCGGGCCACGCCCATACATTGCTCGGGACCCCCGCCTGGGTCGCTACAAAGGGTCCAGCAGGCCGGGTGGTTTCGGTCCTACTGCTGTCTCCTCCTGGTTGCAGGGTTTGGCGTGGCCTCGCCTCGTCCATTGCACACCCAGACCCTCCCCAGAGCCTGCGGTCAGGCTTCTCTGCGGGATGCTGTGGGGTCGCGGGACGCGGCCACCCAGCCCTTTACCCCACCTATCTTCTCTCTTGCATCCAGTTGTTTTGTCAGAGCGTTAGGCTGGACAGAACTGCTGAGCGCTGCGTTCCTTGGGAAGTTTTGTTTCAAATTCCCCGCCGGATCCTCTTCCTTCCTGAGAGACCGCCCTGCCCCTGTCAGTTCCTCAAACTCACCACCCGGCTGGCGCCCAAGAAAGCACATTTCAGAGGAGGGGACAGACTCTAGATCTCCCTCTCCATCCGTTAGGTCAGTTCCTCTGCCTGGTCTTGCCCCAGTCATCTTTCCCTTAGTCTTCCAGCAAGCTAACCACCACCACCACCACTATCACCAAAACCAGCATGGTTTGCTTTCTCCTATGCACCTGCTTTTATTTTTGCGGTCTTGACATCTTTTTTTTTTTAATTTTTAAGATTTTATTTTTAATTATGCATCTCTGTGTGAATTTGTGTTTGTGAATGCTTGCAGGGTTGGGGTGAGGGTGTGAGGCAGAAGAAGTCAGATCCTCTGGAGCTGGAGTTGAGGTGGTGGTGAGGCACCCCATGTAGGTGCTTACAACCAAACTCAGGTCTTTCTGCAAGAACAGTAGCGCTTTTAAGGACTGAGCCATCCCTCTTGCTCTCTCTCTCTCTCTCTCTCTCTCTCTCTCTTTCTTTCCTCTCTCCTGGCCTCCCTCCCTCCCTCCTTCCCTTCCTCCCTTCCTTCTTCCCTCCCTCCCTCCCTTCCTTCCTGGCTCAGTCTCCCCAATATTGAAACCAAGGGTCCCGGGTGTGCCACACAATGGGGCCCACTTACCTTCTTCTCCAAGAAGCATTATCACTCCTCTCTCTTCCTGTCCCTTGCCTAAGCCTGGGGTAGGACTCCTAGAGACTCTTCAGGCCTCTTCCTGGTGTCTGGATTGTCTGACCCTCTCCCTGAGAATCTGTGTTCACCTCCCAACCCTCCCTGTGATAATGATTGATTTGTATACAGCACTTTCAAGAATGGCTCCTGTGTATTCACAAATCCATTTACTCCCAATGCTACACAACTCTATGAGATAGCTGAGGTGCAGAGTTTAGGCTGGCCACATTTCATCAGTGTGAATGTGCAGCAGGGTGAGGGATCCAGACACTAGCGACACAAGAACAGAGTTTCTGTGGACCAAGGTTGACCTCCTCACTGATGCTTCTCAGCCCTCACACCTCCTTCCCCAGCCTGGATCTCTCACCCTGACTCCTGCAGCCAGCAATCCTGGGTCCTATCACCTCCTGCTGGTTACTTAAAGTGAACAAACCCAAGTTGGAGCCCCCCTGGTTTTCTAAATCTACCCCCTCCACCCATGGTCTCCCTAATCTTACAAGTGGGAACTTGTGATTTATTAAAATCTGTGCTAAAAGGAACCTGAAAATGTCTATTTCTTATTTCCAGGAGACTCAAGTTTAGCATGCCTGGAGAGATGAGCATCTCCAGATCAAATCTCCAACCATCAGGCAGACAACCACATGCTATCCAAACCTGAGACCCAGGGCATGAGCTGGCCAGGCAGAGAGGATGCTTGCATCTGTCTGTCTGTAGGCGTGTGTCTTTGCGAGTGTGTGTTGGTGGTTTTTGCACATGGCATATCATGTTCAAGGCCACTCTCTGTAAGAAACCTGACACACACACACATATGCAACCCCAAATAAAGTCTTCAGAGAATGGCTTGTGACTGCATGATGTGCTGAGAGGCTTTATTGCAGCCGGTGAGCAATGGGTGCAGGCTGTGGTTTGCAAGCCGCAGCCCTCAAGAGCTTGTTGCCTTTGTCTGCCAGCCTCTCCTCCTTGGGACTATTTACCAGGAATCTCAGACTGCCTGTGTCTCTTGCATTCGTGATCATATTCAGGAAATACACCCAGTGAATCAGACGGAGGGAAAGAGAGTGGTTCCTGTGAAGACAGGGGTCAAAGCGAGGGGACGTCTCAATGAAGATGAAACACTGGCAACGGATCTCTCAAAGAGTGTTTTACCACATTCATCTCCTCAGCACCTGCCGCAGTGCCTAGCGTGTCAAGGCATTCATAATAACAGCTTACATTTTTCTGAGCCTTTATCACGTGTCGGACACTCAGCCGAGTGCATCGACGTTCTCACTGCAGCTCTGGGAAGTCGGCTCTATTTTTATTCCCATTACCGATGACGAAACTGGAGATTCAGACAGGCGAGACCCTAGGTCTCTTGACTCTGAGCTCTGTGTTCCTCTCTTCGGGTCACACATCTTTGCTAAGCATCTGGAATGTGTGCATGCATGCATGTGTGTAGAGAGTATTCTCAATGCTTGCTGCTCTCTCCCCTTTCGCCACTCGGAGACATAACTGGCAGATCAGGTTAATGAAGGGAAGTCTCCATGGCAACGAAAGAAGGCAGAAGAAGTATTTTCTTCTGAATGGGAAGCTGCTTCCTTCAGCCTTGCATGGGGAGTGGCTGGAAGGGGGCTCCTCACAGGCGTATCTCTTTGATGAGTGGTGGGTGCAGGGTCTCCTGCTCCACTGGAGGAAACAGTGCAGCGAAGTGCACAAGTGGGGCTTAGCCTCTGGAGGAGGGAGGTAGGGAAGGGGTGCTCCAGCAGCTCCCTCTCCCCCGGCTTTCTCTCCAGCCACAAAGCTTTCACTCATTATTCCCATCCCTGGAATGATCACATCTCATAGAAAAAACTGCATCCAACAGTTACGGTGCCATGGACTTGAAGAGTCAGGGGCCATGGGAAGAGAAAAGGACACAGGGAGGGTGGGTGGCTTTTCCAAATATGTGACATTCTGGCTGAGGCACTGGGTGGAGGGTGATGCAAGAACCTTGCCACATTCCAGGACTGACTTTACTAAGGCTGAGAGAAGCAGAGGGCATGGCCAAGGTAGGGGGGCCAGGAGCAGAGACCCAGGTTAGGGCAGGAGCTTAGAATAGATCCGGGTTGGGAAGTGAGCTGGCTTTGAAGAGAGGAGCAGGTGACCAGAACTGTGGTCCAATAAAGGCCTTGAAAAGATTGGAGACTGTGGCCTGAACAGGCAATGGACGCCCCCTCCCCAGCAGTGAAACCTGGTCCCTGAAATCCCTTTGCCCCTTCCCTTTGCTGTGTGCTTTTTGACTCTCTGCAAAGCACCAAATGGAAACAGTAGCAAAGTGTCAGGTGTGGAAAGGAGCATGGCTGGGTCCTTCTCTCCCATTGTGCATCTGATCAGGAGAGAGAAACGCCTGGAAGAGAAACTGTGTTATAACGAGAGTCATCATAAAGTAACTCACAAAGCCATCCTCCACGGCAGGGGAGAGTACTGCAGGGAGCTTAGGGCCACTGCTGGGCCCTGGCCTAGGTTCTCCTTCCCCCACCCCATGGTCATGGCCTAGGTTCTCCTCCTCCACCCCATGGTCATGGCCTAGGTTCTCCTTCCCCCACCCCACGGTCATGGCCTAGGTTCTCCTCCCCCACCCCATGGCCATGGCCTAGGTTCTCCTCCCCCACCCCATGGCCATGGCCTAGGTTCTCCTCCCCCCCCACCCCATGGCCATGGCCTAAGTTCTCCTCCCCCACCCCGTGACCATGGCCTAGGTTCTCCTCCCCCTACCCAATGATCATGGCCTAGGTTCTCCCCCACCCCACCTCATGGCATAGCAGTGATGTCCCTGTCTGTTCATTTTACCTCCTCAACACAATGCCCCTCTAGGCTGCCATATGGCTGGAGAAAGATGGCGGGGAAAAGAAAAAGGCCTCTGCCCCTTCAGTATTACCTGCTCCCCAAGACTGGAATGGAAACAAGTCCCAAGTTGGGGACCTGACACTCAGGGAGGGCTTTCTAAAATTCTAGGTTTCATCCTTTGTATCCAACCAGTTTGCCTAGGTTTGTCCTTAAGGCAAGGACTCTTTATAGAAATCAAGACTTTTGAGGGTGCTGAATATAGGGAACTCCAGGACCCAGGCCTTACTGGAGAAGGGAATTGAGGAATGGTGGATTGGAGACACTTAAGGCCTTCCTCTGATGTAGGAATCTCTGGTTGGCTTTTATACAAGTTATAATGTCTCCCCTTCGCAAGGCCAGTGTTCTGCCTCCTGGCCACGAGTCAACGTCCAGAAGAGACTGATTTTGGGGTGCTCCGAGTCCCTTATCAGCCTCAAGATTCTGGAGAGAAGCATGAGATTTGAGGTGGCCACAAGGTGGCGCCAAACACTAAGTCTTCATATTACATTTTTTCTTCTAGTCTCCCAAGGGGGTCTCTGAGGCTCCTAAATGTCTCGCAGGACCCAGGACTGAGGCTCAATCGGACCTTAGAGTGGAGGCAGAAGCTTAGTGGTAGGAGTGCCTCAATTTCTCCCAGAGCTGTTCCAACCTCTCTTAGGCACCCCAAAGTCAGAACTCCGCTGCTGCCCTCTGGCCACATCTCCCAGCTCCCAGGAAGAAAAAGGAAGTGCTAAGAGACAGAGACTAGACAAGGTTGGCACTGCAAGCACAGGAAGGATGGACAGTGGTGGCTTTGGGCCTCCACCCCTTTTCCCCTTGGGTAGTCCCACACCTCCCCTGTCTTCCTTCTTCACTCCCTCATCACAGAAACATCAGCTGACCTCTTTTGCTGAGGTTGAAAGAAAGCAAAGCCTGTGGGTGTCAGACTCAGTGGAGTTTGTAGTGGTCAGACGTCCTACCTTCCTTCTGTCTCCCCTCCCTGCCAGGAAGTTCTCCAGGGTCAACTGCTTAACTCCCCTTTCCTGTCGGGGGATTATCTAGGCCCACAGTCTCTAACTGGGTGTCAGTCATATGACTGTCTCTGCTTTGGTAGGATTATCTAAGTCAGCACAAACCTCTCCCATACCTGCAACATGGACGTCTCTCTACTCCTCAATGTGGAGGGTGTTAAGAAGACCATTCTGCACGGGGGAGTGGGAGAACTCCCTAACTTCATCTCTGGCTCCCGGGTGAGTAGCCTTCCCCCAGCTAGAGCCCCCATGGTCCCTTTCTGAGTTCTGGCTGTGCCCAGAGCATTGCAAATAGCTTTTGGTTCAGCCCTAATCCAGCCAGGCAGGCCTTTTCTGGAATTGCCCACCCTATGCACCTAGGCTGCCCTACTTTGGAGTTTATAAACTGGCTATTTGGGGGGTTATTTTTTTGGGTAGCTTTAGTGTGGACTAAGGGGTTGGGAGTTGGGGGGATTTTCCAGAGCTCCAAATGTCAAGTGAATAGGTAGGAATCTCAGGAGTTGTGGTGTTTGTCTCCTTGTGTTTGACGGGTCTCCCAGGGTGGGTGGACTCATCCCTGGACATTTGAGCTTATTGGGGAAGGATTCTTGACTCTTGGTCGTGAGAGACAGGCACAGGCTATGCTGGAAAGGAATGGGTTCCTTATGGGCACTTGCAGGGTGTGTCTGACGCATCTTAGCTTATCAGGCGTGGATGAGTTGACTCTGAAGACAGCTGTAGGAACCTGTGGTGATTGGGTGGCAGCCGCTGGAATTCGGGAGGTATGTCTATACCAAACCCCTCTGTTCTGGGGACTAGGTGACGTTTCATTTCCGAACCATGAAGTGTGACGAGGAGCACACAGTGATAGATGACAGCAGGCAGGTGGGCCAGCCCATGAGCATCATCCTCGGCAACATGTTCAAGCTGGAGGTGTGGGAGACGCTGCTGACGTCCATGCGGCTCGGGGAAGTGGCTGAGTTCTGGTGCGACACCATCGTAAGTAGGCCGCGTGGCTCTTTCCCCATTTGATCCCCCCTCCACTCTTCCCGGAACTGTCAAGGTTCAGGAAAGTTAGGGTGAAACAAACCTCTGTATTCTAGCCTGAATCCCCATTCTCTGCCATTACAAACATGGTGACCTTCGGGCAAAGCAGGCATTAAAGTGACATAGAATGTATGGTTGACTGGCGGGCTTTGGAGAGGGCCTTGGGGTAGGAGAGGGTCTCCCCTGACCTTTTCTTTCTGCTCAGTGAAGCAAGTCTTGGAGTCTGTGGTCACTGGGCTCTTTTTGCCCTCCCCCTATTCCTTCCAGCTCTGTGACTCAGTTCATATTTACGTCATTCATAAGTCATCTTTACGACGTCTTGCTCTTTGATTTGGAGAGACAGGCACTTCTTAGAGAAACTTGTGAACATGCGAAAGTCAGGAGAAACCTATCAAGCGCCTGTCCCCTAGGCTGGCACAATCAGCCCACCACCCTGTCTTGAGTCCTCTTACCTCCAGGGCGCTTCTCTTCCTCATCCCACACTGCGTGGGAAAATTCCAGACATTGTGGCCATCCATCTGGGAACACTAGATTTGGTGACTTTGAAGCTGCTGGACATTTGAAAAACACAGCCACAGCACCGTTATTGAATCTCCAGAAAACCCAAACACCCCCTACACGCTCTCTAATTGCCTGACACAGGATTCTCTGACCATCTCATTTAGTCCCTTTACAAGATTTAATTTTTATTTTTAAGTGTGTCCATGCACCTGTGTATCTATGTGGATCTGTTCGCATGAGTGCAGGTGTCCACGGGGTGCAGAAGAGGGCGTTGGATCCTCTGGAGCTGGAGTTGTAGATGGTTGGGAGCTGCCTGGCATGGGTACTGGGAACTGCGCTCTATTCCTCTGGAAGAACAGCAAATGCTCTTACCTGTTGGGTCACTCCCACCCGACCAGGCTCGCTCATTTCTCCTTTAGAAATGAGTGGCATTTGTGTGTGCAGGCAGGATCCAAACAAAACCAGTGTGTCAGGCTTTAACTGTATGGCTGTGTCTGTCTCCCCGGGTCTCCTGGCCCTTTCGGGTCATGGAGGGAACCGAGCAGTCCTAGAGTTACCGCACATTTGGATCGTTGCTTCTGAATGGAATTGTCTGATGTATTCCTTTATTTCTTGTATTTCTGACGGATGAGCTTCTTGTCTAAAAGCTGGAAAAAGTCTTTCGTTCTTTCTTTTTCTTTCCTTCTCACTGATTTGTTTTTTCCCAGGCTGGCTTCAAAATCCTTATATAGCTGAGGATGACCTTGAACTTCTGATCCTCCTGCCTCTACCACCAGGGTGTGAGGTTTACAGGTGTGTGCCGCCACATCTGGTTTACGTAGCACTAGGGATTGGGAATTGGAGCATGGCAGGCAAGTACTCCTCACCCCCAGTCTTTGTTTTAAGTCACGGATAGCTCTGTGACCGTCTCACTGAGGGCCACACTGCACCTGCCTGTCTCAGGCACGACTGAGACTGATGGGTGAGTTCAGGTGTTGACAAGCTGAACTGTCCATCTCAAGGCTCCCCCTGGATCTTCACAGTGGATGGTGGTTAGATACTCTTTATTTCATGGGGAGCTAATGACCTTTTTGAAAGAGCAGTTTGGTAGAGAGACAGATTGCATTTGAGACGTATTTTATTAGTGTGAAGTGACCTGGGGAGATTCTTTCTCCTCTTGCCACTCTGTCTCCTCATCTGTAAATGAACAAATGGCGTGTTCGGGGCTTTTCTTTTTGGGAGTCGCAGGATATGATATAAATGAGCGGAAGTCATGGTGTGCATAAGGCGATTAAAAGGTAGAAGCTATTATTTAGAGCTAGAAGGAGTTTAGATTAACTCCTCTGTTTTACTGAGGAGCCTTACTCTGAATATGATTCTGAGAGAGGAAGTAATCTGCTCTGGTTCAAACAAGCTGAGGGGCAAAATCCAAGTGGTATCCTTAGCTTTCTTGCTGAGTACCAGCACATTTTAACAGAGCCAGATGGCAGTACCACCGTCTACCACTAGGGGATGCCATGCAATACCTGACTCCCCTGTGTTTCTCAGTACACTGAAGCTCAGCATCTCTTCTTTGCAACAGACTTGTTATTATTTTAATCTTAATTTCCTTTAATTAAAACAGTGTGTTTCTGTCAGTTCAGGATTTTATTCAGTTGGTTTATTCTGTGATGTGAGATTAGAACCACCCCTTCTGTCTTTGCTCTCAATGAGACATCCCTGAGCTTGGAAGACCCCTATGCATCTACTTCAGGCTTTATGTCTACAAGTCTTTGCCATCAGCAAGAGCCCCCTTACCTCCTCAGGGTGCATATTTGCTAACATGGTAGGCTGCATGCACAGAAGGCTGTCAATACAGTCTTGATTCTTTGATTGATTTGTTGTGCAAAGCCACAAGCTGCTGCTCACTCCAGGAGCTGTTCCCGGGGACTCTGTAGCCTTTTGGCCATTTCAGCAGTCATATGATGTCCAGCTCATAGGTTTCTAAGTTTTAGAGCATAGTGACAGTTGGTTTTCCCACTGCTCGTGGCTTTTGTGAATGTACATGTGAGTCACCTGTTGGCCTATACAGCAGCACTCTTTCCCTCCACATAGCCATTCACCCACCTGCCTCCCGGGGTGTCCATTTATTCTACCTCTCTTCAGCCAGTGTTCGGTCACAATCCAGTCTTTCATCATTAATCTGGTGTGGGAGAATTGTCTATATTCTGTCAATCATGTTTTAAATAAACACTGATTGGCCAGGCAAGAAGTATAGGTGGGTCAACCAGACAGGAAGTAGAGGTGGGGCAATGAGAACAGGAGAATTCTGAGAAGAAGGAAGCTCCTCCCCCAGTCCTGCACAGACCACCGAAGAAGCAGGATGTGACCTGCCCAGCTGAGAAAGGTACAGAGCCATGTGGCTAACACAGATAAGAATAATGGGTTAATATAAGTGATAAGAGTTAGCAAGAAGCCTGAGCTAATGGGCCAATCAGTTTTATAACTTATGGATATCTGTGTGTGATTTTCTCTGGGACTAAATGGCTGGGGGACCAGGCAGGACAGAAACCCCAATGAGCCCAGCCCTCGTGTTACATTAATCCTTGCAGATCTCAATGAATTTATCCATCTACTCAACCGTCTGCCCAACCATGCATGTATGCAAGTATGGATGCATCCATCCACCACCAGTTCTCCTACCCAGGTTTCAGTTCAATCAAAGCTCATTAACAATCAAGACTTTTTGTTTTTGTTTTTGTCTGTGTGTCTGTGCATGTGTAGAGGTCAGAGACCATGATCAGTCTTGCACAGTCATCCTCACCTTCTTTTTTGTATGAGACAGAGTTTCTTGTTGCTCACTGTTGAGTAGACCAGGCTAACTGGCCTGTGAACTTCCAGGGATTCTGCTGTCTCTGTTTCTCATCTGCCTGGAGGACCACTAGGATTATAGAGGCACCTCCCACCAGACCTGCCTTACGCCACCAGGACTGTAGATGCACCACCTATCACACCTGTTTTATGTCACCAGGACTGTAGATGCACCACCTACCACACCTGTTTTATGTCACCAGGTCTGTAGATGCACCTCCTACCACACCTGCCTTACGTCACCAGGACTGTAGATGCACCACCTACTACACATGCTTTATGTCACCAGGTCTGCAGATGCACCTCCTACCACACCT